TACAATTGCGGAAATTCCTCCGCCGATCCGTGATTACCAACAGAACGTTATGTTATTTGGTCTTTATCATTCTCCAGTTGGACCAACTGCAGAAAGTCTACTAGGAAAAATTGTGAAAGCTATCGAACGGCTTCGTCGTACTGGTCTTACTATTGATCTTGGTGCCAGAGATAAGTACCATTTCTTTTTAGTACATGTTTTCACACTTTTTACAAATAGTAGAATACTATCGAACTTCGAATTCTCAAGTATAAAAGTTGATTTATGCCACACCCAGGAGGATCAATACTACATAAAGATCTTCACTGATAGCGAATATTATCGCTTGCATGATACTAGTTTGTGAGAAAAGAGAGGTTTACGCTACTCCAGAAAGTTCAATGCTTATTCAAGCTAGCATATACAAGTCACTGTTGTTTGTATTGAGCCTCAATGGCTTTTGTTGATTTTAATGCAGCTCTATAACTTTGAAAATGATGAATTTGTTCATTTTCTTTTTTGCAAGAATTCAAACATTTGATGTTCATGTTCAGTTGATCGTTGGAGATTTCCCTGCTCGATCAAAATTCAACTCATTGAGTGGTCATGCCGGTTATTTTGCTTGCTCAAGATGTTTAATCAACGGTGTACGTTGCAAAGCGCACCAGCATATCCTTTATACTTGGTTGGAATATCGGACAAAATGTCCTGTAGAACATACCAATGAAAATATGAATATTTCATTTGATTTAATAGAAACATCGAGAAAAACAATTCGACCAAATGGCGCTATTGTAAAATCACCTTTATGCAGCATTTTGTCTATTCAAAAGCAGTCCGTCTTTGATTATTTTCATACCTGTTTGAAAGTTCATTTGCCAGTGTTGATTTCCAAATGGGTTAAGCTATTGTCGAAAGTCGATCTTAATAAAGCAGATATTTATCTTTCTGGAATTTTGTATCCACATTCATTTAACCGCCATCCAAAAAAATTGTCTATGTTTGATCAATGGAAAGCAAGTCAAATGAGAACTTTCTTTCTCTATGTGTCTCTTCCGCTCCTTATTCATCTTGGTAAATGTTTACCTTCAGCAGTAGCTGCACATTTCTCTCTTTTTTATATTTAGATTCGTACGTTGATATTTTTTTATAATCGTTCAGATGTTCTAGCTATGCGCCCATTTATTGAATGCTCTCTAGAACAATTTCCATCGATATATGATGAATGTAATGAACTACTCTCAATTCACGTCCATGTTCATCTCTGGGAGCAATGTCTCCAACACGGCGCTTTAGCATTTCATAGCATGTTTGTCATTGAAAGCTCGCTCAATCACTTAGCTAAAATGGCTCATGGTACAGTTTCATTAGGTGAACAAATTAGTTTTTGGTACTCAATAGATCGCTATTTACAGTCAAAGAAAAAAAAGAACATCAAATATTTTTTTGCAAAATCATTTATTTGATTATGAATTTTTCGATCAACGATTAGCTCAACAATATGAAAAACAGTTTTTTGATAATTTTTTTCAGTTTTTTGGTCATACATACGATTCTCTAGTCGGTTTCGCTGTGGTCTATGCGTCTTTCATTCTTTAGCTTACAATTTACGCAAAAAGTCAGCTAGTTTTCGTGTATGTGTGTATAACAGTGTTTGTTCTAAACTATTTTGTTATGGTGAAGTCATTTTTTTCTTTCGCTATCAAAATAATGAGTTTTTATTTTTTAAACAAATGTTGTGCTCTACTTCCTTGTATTCAAAACATCTTGCGATTGATGATCGTATTATTCCTTCATGGTCAGATCGAATTGACCAATATTTTTATACGGTCGATTCGTCTTCCATTTCATTCCTTATTTATCCATGTTCTTCTCTTCTTCGTAAATGTATATTTATTCCATTTGAAGGTAATGAAATTCTTTGTACAAACATTGATCATGAACTCGAGCATGATTGAAAATAAAATATTGTTTTCATCTATCGAATCGTATTCTATGGATATTTTTGGTTTTTTATTATTATTGTACATTCTATTGTTAGTTTTTGACTCGTTACACATCATTGTACTCAAATACTTTAGATCTCTTCGTTAATAATTTGTAATTTATTTTCTTTTAATGAACTCTTCAATTAAAATTTATAAATTGACACAAGCTGTGTGATATATCATTTGATCGATGACTATTTTATATAGATTCAAAATGTACCATCAAGGAACTTGTCTTACCCAAAGACCAAATAATAATGCTTCAATCGTACAACACGAAAGAATACCTGTGTTGGAACGACGAGTTCCTCCACAGTCACCACATCAATTCTCACAGCAACAGCATTACATTCAAAATAATGAGAGTAAAATTATATTTTCATTTTTATGTGTTAGATTTTTAGCAATTACTTAGATTCAAATCGACCGTATTCTTCTGATATTCATTCATTATCGTCACAACGGTTTCATGGAAATCAAAATGCACGAATATTAAATCAAGTGAATAGTAAGTTATACAAGTATAACTGAAATCTTTACATAAAAAGGTTTTCCTCGTTGTAGATGTTGCACCAACAATGTCACCTTCTACCAAACGAAAATTTGACGAGTTAATGGTTGAAAATGGGAAAAAACTGAATCAACTGGTTGATGCGGTGGAATCTCTGGTTCAAGAACAAAGAGAAGTAACTGAAGGTCTTCGTGTGTTAAATAAAACTACTTCGCAATCTCAAAAATATATGCGCCAACTAATAAAATCTATCAAAGTCGTAAGTTGTTATAATTTTAACATTAGATAACATTTATTAAAATAGGATGTGACTCCAAACAAATATGCATCTCAACCTCAATTACCAGTTTACGTAAGTTTTTGGTCGTTATAATATCGATTAATTCTTTGCCCTGTTACTTCGCGTAGATGCACAATGAACAAAATTTGTTTTCTTCAATATCTTCTGATTTACCAATAGCAACAATCCTTTGCAGATTAATTAGAAAACTATATTCAACTGAAGAAATAGAAAATGGTGTAGCAGAAAATGAACATGATGAACGATTTCAAATTGTTAAAAGTGACTAATAAATCTCGCTCAAAGATATGATGTCTCCTTTTAAGATGCCATGGTAGCAGCTTTTTTTGTCGACGAACCAGTAAAATTTGATATCTTTTGGCAACAAATAGGTAAAAAACATATTGGAGGACAAAAACGAGCTCAAAAATGTCGAAATAAAAAATTGAAGTAAGTTTGACGTTCGCTTTAATGATTCTTCTATCCTTACTCTTCTCCGTAAATATTGATTATTTTTAGAACAAATCATATTCTAAATTCTGAAGATAATTCTCATTCAAATGAAGATGGTAATGATCCAAGCAGTTATTCAGAATCGGACTTTGATAATTAATATCTTTTATCTAATTTATATGTATATGATTATGATGATAATGATGATTTTGTTTTCTTATATTAACTATGTGCATAGACATAAAATGAAATTTGTGGTCTATTTTGTGCTCATTCATTAGATTTCTCTCTTAATCTGGAACAGTGTGTTGTAAACTGAAAAGAAACGGATGAATCATTTTATCTTGTTTGTTAATATGCATTTAGTGCACTTTGTATTTTCTTGTTTATTGTACATATGAAAGATGTAACTTGTAAACATTTATCGATGCGCTTATTTTTTGTATGTGGTTGTGATTAATTCATGTAAATGGTTTCTAGTTGTTACTTTGTATTTACATAATTAACGTATTATGAGTAGTGATGTTGATTCATGTGATTTAAAAAATAAAACTTGCGATTGCGAATTACAATGAAAAAGCAAATTTTGTAAATCCACTAATAGAAAAAGAGTCGATGGCGCAGGACACGCAAAAGTACGCGCACCATTTTTTGCTTATGTCACATATCGGTTCGCGCACCGAGCGTGACTTTTGTCACGCGTACCGATGGGGTGTACGTCATGCGCACCAAGACGCACGGGATGACTTAGGATATGTTAGCGTCACTAGATGTCACTTCATGACGCTAACTTATCCATATCATTGAAATACATTTTCTTTACTTGTTTTCTATTTGATATGGATAATCCTTCTCATGATTGAGATCATGTGATCTTTTTGGTTTAGCTATGCTTTTTCGTTATTGCGTTGTTTAGTTTTCTCGTTCGAATATATAAGGATTTATCCTTATATTTGTTGGCCAGATTTATTGTTTTTTCTTCACTGTTATCATTATTTACATAAATCTACTTCTTCCTTCAATCTACCGATTTCATCAATTGATCTTATTAAACATCATTGATTATCTATTTACTTATACAAGGTAAAATAATTGTCTACGTGAGCTCACGACAGAAGATCAAATAATCAAAAGAAAACGCATCATTGACTGGGCGTAAAAGATTAAATAAAAGCATGCCTAAAAGTGAGTCTCACAACATAAAGTTTGAAGGGTAAGGAGTCGGGAACTCTTCGGGAATAGAAAACTCAAAAAGGGTGTGGTGTGGTATGCGTGCAAGTAGAGGGAAATCAAATATCGAGACCCACTGCCGCACCCTCACGCCCCACACCCACGCACCCACACCCTTCGTTGTCTATACGATTTTTCATCTAATGAGGCGTTCTCGAGTAGTCATGGTGAAATTTTTCGTGAAATAACACCAAAATACTAAATATATCCTTAACCCTTCCCGGCCCGGTGTTGCCATATGGCAACATTTTCCCCTAGGGGTGTACGACAATTTCCAAACAGCGGGCCGGAAAGGGTTAAGATAAAAAAAAATTATCGATCCAAACATACCTTCTATACTTGTCTCAGCTCGCATTTTGTATAGATAATGCTGCAGAAACAAAAGACTTAGTTTAGTATGAAAAAGAAAATATAACATAAAATCTGGTTCATTTTCATTTTTCCAATTATTTAAAACTGTTATTATGAATACATCAAAAACATTAAAATAAAAAAGAATTGTGTTAAAAAAGAATATCAATATTATTATATGAAATAATCAAAAGAAAATTAAATAATACTAATTACGTTAATCGAACAGACATTTCTTCACAAGTTACAAACCGTGAGATTACGATTTTTTCCGTTCTTCTCGTAATATATCAAACATTTATTACATTTTAGAGATGATGATCGTTTGTGAAAAAATCGAAATTAGAGAAAAACATCCAATTCATTTTAAAATATCTTTTATCGTATCTAATAAAACCAAAAAATCGCTAGGGTGTGAGTGTATGTAACTCAAGAAAGAACCAACACTCACACCCTCAACGTGTCATGCATATGCTCGAACTTTTAATACAACATGAAATTGTATTTATTACAAGTTTTCTATTTAAGTTTTCACTATGTATGAACCAGTTTGGTTGGGGCATTCAGCGTTAATGTTGGTTCAACCATGATATCGACATGGCCCAGGTCGAGCAATCCCATACTCAGATCCTGTCGGATCCTACCGTGAAACCCCAAATAATCCAATAACATCCGATAGGAATCCGACAACTACCGACAGGGCTCTGTCGGAAGTTATTGGACTCCTTGGTGCAGGAATCCAATTGGAAATTGTCGGAGGTTGGACCCAATGATTTTCGACAGTCAGTCCGGTAGTCAGAAAACGTCGGATATCCTCGTAGCCTCATGTGAATCTATGGAATTTATAGCTGAATATTAGATATCATTTGATCCCCTCATCTCCAACGCCTAATTCTTCAATCACTTACAATTAGCTTCAAAATTATGTAGCTCATTTTATTTTATGCGAAGTTTTATTTAGCAAAAATTTTAATTAATAGAAAAAGATTACGAAATAAAATTAACACAAATAAATTACGAAATAAACTAAAATATGAACATAAATTGCCAAATAAAATTAGATACAAAAAATAATTTACGAAAAATTGAAATAAAATTACAAAAAATATTAAGTTCATATTAGAAAGAAATTTAACAATAAGTTTTTACTCACTGATAATAAACTCATGCTGTAATACAATCTAAAATAAAATAGAATATCAAAGACTGAATTCCAATAAAATTAAATTAAAAAAAATAAAACTAAAAGAAAAATAAGAAACCAAAATAAAAAGAATAAAATGTAATATAAATAAAAATTAAACAAATAGTTTTCACTCACTGTTTATGAACTACATGCCGTAATACAATCTAAAGTAAAATAGAATAGAGGGAATAAGAAAATAATGAACAGAAATTCCAATAAAATAATTGAAGTACGTAAAATAAAATAAAGAATGAATTTCAATAATACTTAAACTATAAAATAGAATAATTTCAAAAAAATAAAAAACTTAGCAAAGTAAAAACTTATAGTGAACTGAAAATAAAACTAAATAAAAAGAATAAAATGTCATGAAATTAAAAATTAAAGAATAGTTTCGACTCATTGTTTATGCGCATCGTGCCATACTAAAATCTAAAACAATTGAATCAAATACAAATACAAAATACCCAATTTCGGTTTAATGTCATCCATAAGTAATTGGTGGAATTTACATACACTAAAATTATAGTATGGGTGAGGGCGCTGTGAGTAAACTGAACAGAATCGAATGAAAATGAATGAGCTGCAAAAAAATAAAAAATTAGATTAAAAAAGATTAAACTGAAATTAAATTAAAAAATTAAATGTATAACATATAATAGTATAATAAAATATATATATGATGAATAAAAAATTGATTAAAAGTGATCTACATTTAAAAAAATCAAGTAAATTAAGATTAAACTTATTAAACAAAAATCTATAATATATATAATATAAAATTTGAATAAAATTTAAAAAATAAAAAATTGATTGAACTTAAATCAAATTCAAAAAATTAAATTAAATAGCGCACCCCTCAAAATCAACAAGTGAGATAAAGTATGTGCAGATATGTTAATATCATCTGATTTCATCGGATCCGCTAACTTCGCATTTTTGGATGTCATCAAATTTTATCGGATTCTATGGTCGGATATCATCAGATCCTATTGTCGGCATCCAACGAAATCCGATGACGGAAGCCGTCGGAAATTAATGGATAATGATGGTTTCCGACAATCGGATCCGACTGGTTGCCAACAGTAGGAAAGCGTCGGATTCTGCAGGGACCCCACCGGATTCTGTTGGTGAGATTCGACATGGGTGTTCACTTTATCTTGTATCGCATGGCACAATTTAATTATCTGGATAGTGTTTATCTCATTTTCCGCATGAGATATATCGCCTTCAATCTTATTTGAACATTCATCTTACCTGCTTAAAATGAAGCTAATTAATTGCTGAGATTAATATTAAACTTCTGGCACTTCACGATAAAGCTTCTTAAGTATTAGAATGCGTCTGCCTAATCATGCAAACACTTTTCTGACGTTTTCATTTCCTTGATTTTATAATTGACTTCGCTTGGCCAAACTTCTTGAGAATATTTCGAATTAAAATTGTTTTTTTTAAACTGCATATCAGTTAACTACATCAATCCGAACTTTGCTCAAAGTGACACATATTTCATTACGATAGTAGTAATGAACTTCTTGAGAAACTAAGAACACGAAAACATTGCAAATGCATCTATATCTCAGAATAAAATAACGTTTCGGGCAATGAAACGACCATAGAAATATATGCATTTTCAAAAGAGCAATATCTGCATGCAATATATACGATAAAACAAAAGGATAGTTTTGACCATACAAATAAGTTGACATTTGTTTACCGATGAAATAAGCATTAATAGTTTTAAATTGAGTATTACAGAAGTCCTTTGATTCGAAACTAATGCCAAATAGAAATTCTTGTTATTCACTATTTTCTAAAGTTGATATCTTGGAACGCCATTCTTTTTACTCTTGTTTATTGATTCAGGATTTGCTAATTGTAACGTTATATGCGGAGAGCATCCAAATTCCGTCCGGAGATGTAACGCTCCCGTTCGAGTGCAGCCTATGCATAATATTTGACCTTATGACACCATTTATTCTCAACACAACTATTGCCCTTATCTTTCTGTCGTTGATCTTTGTCTTTATCTCTCATTCTCCTTCGCTCTCTCAAATGGTTGAGCATTTAAGCGTGTGCTTTATATGGAACCGATGAGATTTATGATTTGAAGAGTTAAATAACGTATAATACCATCAGCACAGGCATGTCTTCTATCTAAAATCGTCACACTAATCTTGCCTTCATTGGAAATAATTAAATTATAGCATTATTTCAGAGAAAAAAACTCACGCTAAAGGATTACTGCACATCCATGTACATTCTTTTTAATAGGAAATATTCGTTGATATAAATTACAGTAAGATCCAATTGACTTCCCCCTTTCAGTTTTTTTTTGTTTTTATTACTATACTTCATTTATTTTTATTTTTTTTAAATATCAAGTCCAGTTTAAGGTATCAAAAGTGTTTTAGAAAAAATAGTGACAGTTTTGTTCTATCTGTAACTTATATTCGCATCTAATAATTAACGATAACTGCATATATGCTAAACAGTATGTTTTTATACGAGTTATTAATGGTCCAAAATCAATTGCATTTATGTGGCACTAACTCCTGATGGTCGTAATATTTGTCATATTAAAAGTTTTAGAAAAGAAATAATAAATCAACTGGTTACCTATCAATAATATATATTTGATAGATGATAAGAGTCGAGCCCATACAATCAAACAATGTCATTCGGTTAAAACAATTGTTTATATGTTAACAGCTGCTACAAAATATTTACAATCACCATTGGAAAATCCACTTTGGAATTCATTTAAAGAAATCACTCGAAACCAATATCCTTTATTTATAAAGGATTTTGCTTTAATAAGATCGAAAATATTTCATTAGCTATCAAAACAAGAAATTCAAAATGTTTGTCGTAATTCTAGTTATACTCCTAGTAAATTTTTAATTATAATTAAGATGCGAATGTAACTTGCAGATAGGAAAAAAAGTCACTTTTTATCTAATACACTCTTCATGCCCCAAATTAGATTTGATATTTAAATGAAATGTAATTAAGAGAGGCATAATAATAAGAAAAAACGAAACGGAGCCACCAATTGGCACATTGATCCTTTTTTTTTTGTTCAGCAGCAATATTTTTTCAAACATGAATCAATCTATAAACAACGAAACTACGAGCCTCCCATCATCCATACTCAATGTTGAATTGAGTCGAATGATTTCCTTTGTTGTTTTGATGATACTCATTATTCCGTGGGGAGTAAGTTGCAGTTTTGTGATCTATTGGACAATACAAATGCGCTAATTGCGAGCTAATTTGAAAAACCATTTGATTCTTTGTGTTTTCTGCATTACAATTATTCAGGTAACAAGATTTTTAAAATATTCATTTGTTATTCATGTATATATATTTATATATATGCAGGCTACTTGTGAACTACCTTTCACACTATTTTACTATTATCATGGTCACGTAGCATTTGCATCTGATAGCTTCTGCAAATTTTGGATTACACTCAATTTTTCATTGAATGTAGCTGCCAGTCATCTAAATGCCTATCTTTCGATTGAACGATATTTATTAATTTTTCATCATGTACTACTATTTCAGTAAGTCCCGTAATTGACCAGGTACTATTAAATTGCTGAATTTGATTTCTTAAAGGCATAAAATCATCTTGCATTATGCACCAATGTGTACATTGATCATTTTTGGATTTGCTTATTCATTTAGTTTAGTTGTTTTCTATCCATGTACGAATCAATTTGATTATACAATTGAAACATGTGGTGGTGCATGCTACGAATCTGAGCCATTTTGGGGTATATTGGATTGGGTCGTCACTGCTGTTGGACCCTTATGCGTGATTATCGTGTCTAATATGATTCTTGTCGGACGAGTGTTTATTCAACGACGTAAAATGATGCGAGCAAATGTCTGGAGACATAATCTAGCTTTGCTAATACAACTTCTATTAATTACAACATTACACTGTGCTGCTTGGCTTCCTGTGTGTATCGTAAGTCTTATTAGTCAAGCGGAAGTTTCATCATCACAAGTGATACAAGAACTTCAAAATAATTGGATATTAGTTAGTCCCATCTATCTGTCTATTATTGGTTGTCCTATTGTATGCATTTTTGCATTGCCTGAATTGAAAGACAAATTTCGTTTGACTATTGTCTATCAATGGCGACATTATATGAATCATCGAATTAATCCAACAAGAACAAGTATAATGTTTCATACTTAACGGTGAATCAACATAACTATTCTTGAAATTCACAATCTATCTTGTAATTATTTGTCTGTCTTCTAAATAAATATTAATAGATTATTATTGTGTTTGAAGAGTTGATCCTTGTAGGTATTTCGATTCTTAGTAAATACCCACATCAGTGAATTTAATTAACAACATTCTATTCAATAGAACTGCTCATTGAATATATCTTTTCATTATAAACTAGGAAATTTTGAATGGTAACAACAAAATGTTTGTAAAAACTCATGTATTGAAAAAATAGCTAATGGTTTTTCATGACTAAATTTGATCTAACGATAGTAATTTTCAAAAACGAAATGACGAACTTCATTAATATTGTTTTAGCACCACCCAATAGAATGATTCCGACAGTGGAATCCCATCGGCTTTGTGTCGGAATCTTATCGGATATAGTATGAATTTCATTAAACCAACGAAATCCTATCGGTATCCAGGTGTAGAATCTACAATCGAAACCCTAGTGTTGGAACCCGACAGGCTCCAGTGTCGGAACTTAACGGAATCCAACATAAGCATTCGACCCATGTGTGTTGTTGGCACCATATGCTTATTCATTTAGGATTAAGAAAATATTTTTTTCTGTCGGAATCGTTAGCAGGTCAGTGACCAGGAATCTGATCGAATTTTGTCGACTTGTCGGATCCAATGAGATCCGATAAGATTCACTGTCGGATTCATTCACCTGGGGTCCTCTATTATATGTGTAGTCCTGTATGTTTTGTTTTGTTCTTTGTGTTATCTCGTGTCCTTTCTTGTTTTTTTCATTTTGTTACTTTAATTTGTATTTATTTTATGTTAGTTCTATTTTATTTTCTGGCAACTATGTTTGTTTGAGTAGATGCCTAATTCGACTTCGAATATAAATGAAAGAAAACCACCCAGGTTGAACAGTACGGTCCGTATACGGCCATTGACGGTTACTTTACGACTATTTTACGAGCGAAATTTTGCCGTAATATCTGGCGCAGTAATACGGGCCGTATTATCATGAGAGTACGGAGCACAAACAGCCGTAAACCATGAAAATTCAGTCCCATTTACGGTGCCGTATTACTGCGCCAGGTATTACGGGTAAATACGGCCTATTTACTACCGCAAAGATACCGTTTTGACATCGTTTACCGTCGACAAACAGACCGTAAACGAGTCCGTTTTAATCAACCTGGGCACATTCATATTTTCACGCCATCGGCGGGAAAAGATTTACTTTTTATAAATTATGAAGTTTATAAATTGGCTTCACTCCCATTTATAATTTAGGAATAGATTTAGATTTTCGAACTCAAATATACTGACAACGTTGATATCGTAGTAAGTCAGGCTTGCCAGATAGTTATAATTCTCGTGTAGACTTCAGAGAAATGTGTATAAATATGTTTAGTGGAGTATAAATGTTTTTGGATGGAAGATTTTGATTTCTTTTGTATCGGTTTAAATATTGCTGCTGAAAAATGTGCTATATCTGTGTCAACAAATGAAAGAAAATCACGCCTGATTATTCCTTTTCAATTTTAGTGGTGTGAAGTGTTTTAGTATACGGGGTAATACGACCCTTTTCTTGATGTTGTATTCGGATAGGCATTATTTTTCATATGGTTGTGCATTGGATTGTTTTCATTGCCTCGTTTCGCAGTCGACGCTGGACGTAGGTGTATTTTAACTATTGTGCACTTCATTCTGTATACTTTCGATTGTTCAAATTAAAAGTTTGAGTGCGTCTTATGAGAATACATCCGATTTCGCAAAGTTGAACATCCCGGAACCAGTTCCGCTCACGGAACCAATTCCAGAATTCCTGGAATCACTGCCGACCAATTACATCTAATTCCCAGAATTCTGTTTATCCCTTCCGATTCAATTCCGGAATTCCGGGAATCACTGCCGACCAATTCCATCTAATTCCCAGAATTCCGTTTATCCCTTCCGATTCAAATCCGGAATTACACGGAATTCAAACGGATTCCGCCTAATTCCCAACGGTTCCGGAATTCAGTGCACTTACACTAACATCCACATCCACACCCACACCCACACTTATGGCAACACCCACACTTATCGCAACACCCACACCATGCAATTCCGGTACGGAGTTCCGAGAATTAGGTCGAACAGGAATTGGTCGGAATTGAACGGAATTACACGGAATTGCTAGGAATTCCGTCTAATTCCCAGCGATTCTGTATTGACCTAATTCTGGAATTCCGGACCGGAATCGGATCATCACGAAATGGGTAAGACAAGCTAGAATAGTAATACAAGTTGTAATTCCGGAATTACTAAGAATTCCGTGTAATTCCTAGGAATTCCCAGTGACTCCGCTTTCACCTAATTCCGGAATTAGACTGAATTCCGTGGAATTCCGGGAATCGGACGAAGCAATTCCGGAATCGGGCAGTGTTCATATTTGGCCTAATTCCGGAATCAACGAAACTGATTCCGGAATGTTCAACATTGCGGAATTGGATGACTGCTCCATCTTATGACCTGGATGTATGATTTCGTTTTATTTCGTCGTTGTTTTCTTTCTCTCTGCTTTCTATGGTGTTACTATAAATAGGCGGTGTCCATATTGGTTCACATTATTAGAATTCCTTTTATTTCGTTCACTTTTATCACAAATCGAATGGTATAATTTTTAGAATAAATCATTTAGATAGATATTCTTTGTATAGAAATTATAACATTGCAGGGTGTGGGTGTATGTAGACCCGTTGTCCGCCTTTCCCAGCGCCCACACTTACTATGTTGTGTTAGTTTGTCGATCAGCGTATGTCCACCTTTCATCACACACACATCGACACTCTCCCACCAAACCGTATAATAAGGAAATCTAAATATATTCCTAAATTATAAATGGGGGCGAATGTCAATTTATAAATTTTATAATTTATGAAGAGGAAATCTAAATATATTCCTAACTTATAAATGGGCTGTGAATTTGACGATCTTTTCCTTTGCTCTGGGATAGTTTTTAAATGGTCGCGATTTTTTTCGCTTATTTTCGAATTGTGAATAATTATTAGATGTCGATTTATATTCGAAGTCGGACTAGGCATCTCATGCAACTGATTGAGTTAATTCCTTGAAAATTGTTTTAGATAGCCAAAATACGGTAAAAGCTGATAGAATGAGTTCCAGCAATGATATCAATTAGTTAATGGTTAAATAGGCCTATTCAAATCTTGACTCAGCTCCTCACATTATAAATGCTGATAGCTGAATACTCTAAATTTTATGATCAAATATCTTCATTATTAATTAATTATGAAATGATTCGTAGGAAGTAATGATTGATACCACAAATGTAGATGAGATATCCATCAAAATTTTTCGCATATAGTTTTTCATGTATCAGCTTTATTGTTTTATAATAGCACATGCAAATGTGATGTTCACGATAAGAATTCACATATTCTAGTGTCACGTTGTATATTTTTTCTATTTTGCTCATACAAAAAAAAACACTTCTATTTTTTTATTATTTTCTTTGTTTTGTAAATATTAAGACTTTATAATGTAAAGATAAGTAACACACCTAGTCTCGACAACAAATTTCATATTGAATATAACACAAGTAGAGCCTTATAATAGTTAGGTAGTGAAGCAAACATATATAATTATTGCTTTTTCATGTATGACACCAAAAAACACGCTAGAAGCTGATTATGAATAATCAATAGGTATCCTTTCTCTATATTAACTGTATGAGATACATAAGTATTAATATTAAGAATGGATTTTCTCGTACGAAAAAAAAGATAACTAATAAATAGAAATGCTTTCTTTCAATATTAAACCTTTAATTTTCGACGATTGTCTGACAAAAAAATTATGCTAGGTTGAATAAAAATGAAATACGCACAATAGTTTTTTCATATGATTTTCGGGTGTGGGTGTAGTTAGTTTTTTTTCACGTAAAAGCATGCCCATACCCACACCTCTACATGAAAATTCGCTTACGGGTAGATCTGTAAGCCCTCAGCTGAAAAATACATTGGCTCTAGGAAACTCATTGACTGCAAGCCGTCGACTTCATTAAAAATCGGTTGGCAGTTTATACCTCTGTTTACAGGCTCATATTCATGATAATAGCACGAATATCGATAGAAATTTGGGGATCTACCCATTTAAACACACCAATTTATCAAGAACTGATTTATCATGTCGAAGGGAACCGGTGTAACTAATTAAATTGAGAACGGTTCACTACTTTTTTTTCTTTATATGCTTCATATACTATTCAAATTTATGTGTATTTTTGAAGAGCTGGCAATTTTAGCTCATCACGCAAACTAATGAGGAAGTAATCATGACAGTTTTTATTCAAAATACTACAAAAGTCTCTCAAGTGCTAAATCAGTAGCATGAATAGCACACAGATTCTTCAATAAATTCAATCATATAAAAACGCATAGTTACTGTCAGTCTTCAAGTTTATTATCGAAAATGCATCGAGTTGTTTTTTTTCTTGCCTTATTGGTAGTATGTGGGACCGGATCAGCCCTCGTTAACCATCAACTGCTTGATCGAGTCAATTCATATATCAACAATCATCGGCTATCACCAAATGCACGTTCCAGTAGTGAAGGAATTTATTTACAAAATAGTAATAAAATTGGTCTTGGATACAACCCATTATATGGTAGCCCTGTTTGTTACACTGGAGAATGTCAAATGCAAGGTTTTGCACAACCCATTTTTCAATTGAATTATCAGCAAATACCTAAAGGTTCATGTACGACACGGCTAATACCAGACTACACTTTCTTAGACTGCTTACCGTCGACTGAACTACAAGCAGATACTGAAACCATTGACACAGTTGAACAATTAAAAGAAACAACATCAAAAAGTATTGACGTATCAGCCAAAGGTGGGTTTTGGAAATTTTCATTTGCATACAAATATTCGGAACAAGCACGATATATGCTTGATCATATTATCAAAAAGAATTTAGAAGTTTTGTATACATCAGCACGCGTCAGCTATGTGAAGCTTTCAATGTTTGAACCATTCATGAATTTAACGGAGACTTTCCGTTATGTTATTGAACAACTACCATGTTGTGATTATGATGAGACAGTTGAGTCATACATTCAGAGGTTTATCTTTAGCTATTTTGGCTTTACATATGTCAATAGTTTGTTACTAGGTGGTATTGCTCGACAAAATATTTTTATTGAAAAATCTGATATTAGCCTCTTAGAAACTCATGGTTATACAAGAAGCCATGAAGCCCAGGCTGAATTTTACATTTCATTAAATGGAGCTACAAAAATAGTATACGATAAGGAAAAGCACAATAAATTTATGACATATGTCAGAAAAACATATGCAACAACTCTTGGTGGTGATACATCGGTTCAGACAATAGATGAATGGTCGAAAACAGTTCCATCGAATCCGGTTGTCACAAAATTCGGTATCAGTTACATATTTGATCTACTTAACAAAAGACGATTTCCGCATGATGATCAAATTTTCAATAAGTCAAAACTAATCGAGAAAGCTCTGAACAAATATATCGATAACCAGCTGTATTGCTATAATAACTGTTCGGGTAATGGTGTTTGCCAAGAAACAGGCTATTTTCAATTTGGAGAATGTAAGTGCAAAGATACTTGGAAAGGATTTGATTGTTCACAGCAAGTTAGTACTACAACGACGACTACAACTACGACTTCTACGCCACGGACAATCACTTCTTGCCAATGTGTGAGGAGGATTTGTTCTGAATGTTTGAAATGGAGTTGTAGTGGAAGACGTCGTCGGCGTGAGGTGATTGGAATCAGACCAAAATGTTGAATTGTTTCGCGAAATGACAAAGACTTGAATGCGCATTGTCGCCATGCAGAAAAAATAAAATATCGACATCTCAAATGAAGCGGCTTAATTAAATATTTTAATTTTCTTTATGAAAAAAACATTTGAAAGTGAATTGCTCATTATTACATGTCAATTAAGAGTCAGGCAATGAATTGAATTGAGATGAAATTTAGCTTATCATTGCTGAAAGTCACTCTAGGCAAGGCACGACAGATCACTATTGAAAGTTCTCGATCAGAGTGTGGGTAGGTGGAGAATGAGGATGGGTTTCCTATTCAATCTGAAGTTATGATACTGTTTGATTTCCCTCAAGTCTTTCATCAAATGATCTTAAAAGGTCACGAGTAAAATACATATTACTCAATTTCAGTTTGAATATATGGGCATGAATTAGGGGCATCACCAGGAAAAAATTGTACGGGGGGGGGGGGGGGGGACCCACCGGGAGGGGGGNCCCCCCCCCCCCCCCCCCCCCCCCCCCCCCCCCCCCCTAGCACGAATGTGCCATAGCTGGCGTGATGTCAGGTATTTCGATATTGCTAAAATAGTCTCATCGAGTGACACAGCATATTACTTCACACGATGGTGTTGTAAAATTCTGCAGAGTTGCCATAATGCTAACATTTCATCTCAACAGCGAGAATCATCATATAATTTATTTTCATCTAAGATATTTTTATTGAATACAATAATGGCATCTTCTGTTTCTTGTAAAAATCGTTTAATATGTTCAGTCACTGCCTGCTCACAATCAAACCAAGTGCAACTGTAAAATGTAGCATACATGGCTGAGTACATTACATCTAAATATAATTTGATTTTGTGCATATTGCATGCATCATTGACTAAATCAAGATAATTTTGTTGTTGTTGAATGAGTAATTGAAAACATTTTTCTCGTTGATTATTTTCAAACCAGTGCGAAACAAATTCAATGTCATCATTTTTAAATGTCATTGCACATCTTTCCCAATCGAGTATTGCTAATATTTTTCCAGTAATTTCATCCACTAAAATGTTAGATGAATTTAAATCAGTATGAGTGACATGAAGTTTGATTTCTGACTTTGACAAGTTCGAATCTGTTTGAGCACAATCAATTATTTTTTGTAATGATAATATTAAATATTCTCCAATTTGAAATAATTGTTCATCTGTTTGAATTCTTTTTATAGCCCATCGTAAATGTTCAATTATATAATATTTTACAGTAATAAATGGTCCTAGTGTAGGGCCATCTTCCAGAGATCCACCGAGAAACATTTCTTTACTAGAAAATGAACCAATCCTATTCGCTTGTGGTAATTTTATTTGACGTAATTGTTTAACATAATCAGTCATTTCAATTGCTGTTCTAACCAAATTTTGATCAGAAATGTTTTCAATAACAGATTCTAACGTTTCTCCATAAATTTTTTCCATTAGTATATATTCACATGATAAAATATTTGATTTACAATCAGTAGAACAATCGATTATTTTTGGTATTGGAATTGTTGTATGTTCAATTAAATATTGCATTGTATAAACTTCGTTTTTAATACGATTTTCTGTCCAATAACGATGCGGATTTGATATTTTTAGTATGAATTCAATATATGAAGAATTTTTTGATAGTGCTTTTAAATTAAAAATCAAATTAATACGTCCTGATGTTTGTAAACGTTCAAAAGAAATGCACTGCAAGTCAAGTCGCCCCATAAGTTTATTCATATTTTCTATTGTTAGTTTCGATAAAATCAACGCAATGTCATGCGTTTGCTCGGAATATGATGGGTGTTGAATGAAATTCATTGTTTTAAAGTAAATTATTTAAAATTTGCCTCGTATTTATGTAATAATCAGAATATTTTTGTAATTACACAATCAATGATTCAATGCAAATACACTATGAAGATAAGAACACGTACTTATCTTAGCATATTGAAAATAGAACAACAGTTAACCTTTGATGAATGACATGCTGCTATAATTATAAACCTAACATCGATTTGAACTGTTCAGTCATAAACTTACGTACTGAAACATATGTCTAGTTGTTTCAACGCAAGGGTGGCATTACAGTTTTGGTAAATGGGGATGCTTCAGTGAAAATGGAAGCAATTATGGTCAAAAGCCGTATTTTTGAAGTTCATTAAATATAACTTCGGCTTGTGTTCGCACTGTTTCTTCTGATAAAAAACAAAGACATTTTTAGAATAGAGACACAATTGTCTATTTCCCTATAAATCTATCACACTACTTCAGTATGCGTTGTTTTTCTATTCTCATTAGTAACGAATTAAATATTGAGTGCTAGGAACTTCGAAGCGGTGATCCGGTACTGGTCGTAACCTGGTAAACCCAGGATCGAATGGTTGGAATCATCGACCTGGAAAATAGGCGTTGCAACAAGTTTCAACAAAACTCAGAAGTATAAAAGTAGAAGATGATGAGTGAATCCGAGCTGGCTATACTGAATAGAGATGTACAGGGTTACCCTACCCTACCCTGCAGGGTAGGGTAGAATAAGGGCACAAAAAAATCCTTTGCCAGGGTACAGGATAAGAGAAAAGCTCATCCTGCACATCTCTAATACTGAACTCTGCTGTGAGCTGTTCTTATGTGTTTTTAACATTCATGCGGCTGCGGGTGATGAGAGTAACAGTTACTTGCACCCACACTATCTACTCTCAAAATTTGAGTCTAATCGATCGATTCATCAAAGAGTTATATAGCATTCAACTTTCAAAAATAAAGTATCTGTCGAATAATGTGAATATTTGACAAAGGAGACAAAAAAATATAAAATTTAAATCAGCAATATATTTCTCACAAGCCACTGATTGTACGACCTATAGGGCTGAAATGGTTTGTGACAGTGGGTCATACCAGGAGAAATGGTATATAAAACCTTGCCCTAATCGGTTCAGAGAGGTAAAAGTGATCAGCGAAATGCTACTGAAAAATTGCCGGTATACCCAAAAGTTGCAATTCACTCTTATATATAAAACGCTACATATTTTATTTGAGAATAAGCAAAGTACAAGCAAGAGGTGGGTAACAAAAACGTCTGATTTCGCCATCATCTTTGCATTAAAAGAATAAAGCATCAGAGAAACCTCGTATGGTGACTCATTAGTAAATGATTTAGTATTAAAAAAGAGTTTGAATGTCATGGTTAGATCATCGACGCAATTAACTATCTAAGAAAAATTTCGTCAAGCTTGTACAGTGTCCATTTACAAATTTGATAGCATAAATAACATTTTAACTTCAATTAAAGTACGTTCAATTGTATGCGCCAATGCTTGTGCATCTGTAATCGTACTATTTCGATAAGCACTGACCGAAAATGTTATTCTATAGTAAATAAATATAACAATAATCCATGTATCGTTTATTTTGAACTTTTCTTACGCATCACTACCAAGCCGATAGAAAACTCCGTAACCATTTAAACACATCGGTGGTGTTCCACCTACGGACAAAGTAAAACCAAGACAACTTGTTGATAAAATAAAATTACCACTTCCACCACTAAAATCCAAAACAATATCGAAACAAGAAAAATATTTTATTTCTTTTGCGAAACCTTTTTATCCATGATGGATCATTGATAAGTTCGAATGGTTTTCCTGTTAAAGTTGCCATCATACTTAATGCAAATAAATAGCGATCACAACCTTGATTTTCCGATGCTGCGGCCATTAATTCTTGATGACGATTAGCAGCAATAAGAAATAATTTTCGTCTTTCACTCTCCTATATAAATTTCAATTAAACTATAAACATACGACAATAGATGAATTTTACTACTAATTGATCATTCTGATTTACCATTGCACGACACCATGCAACTACTTCTGGTGAACAAGTTCGCACGGTTTCCGTTCTTCCACGATAAAAACGTCGTGTTGATGCTGTTTCATAGGTTGACGCAGGTTTATTACCATGTAGTTTAAAATAAGCAAGTTGAAGACACAATTGAAAATAAGTATCCGGATGAATACGAACATATTGTTTAATATCTTCTTTTGTACATTGATTTACATTAGTGACAAAAATGTCGATATTCTCTGCCGATTGATGAAATAAATTAATTGCGTGATTAATAACATTCAGTACATGCGAATCATAGATGAATAAAAGTTCATGAACTATGATTTTATTATCGGGATCCGATGGTATTGGCCATGAATCGATTTTTTCAAGAGTATCTATATGATTTTGTATATAATCACCAATATGTATTGGAATACTACCTTCATAAGCCGAATGCTAAGACATATAATTTAGTGAAGATGAATATTCAAAAGAGATATTATCGAGTTACTTCATCATTTGCTACAATAAGACCATTGCGTGTGACGATATAAACGTTCGATCGATCAAACCAACGGGACTGCGGATTTTTCAACAAGCCAATACAAGCAAGCTACATATTTTACTTTTTATTATATCTGAGAAAAGTATTATCGAATATAAGCCTCTCGTTAATCTACCTCTGTTAAGTTTTCAGCATTCTCATTATCAAATCCGTAAACAAGTAAAGCTTGTTCGATACGTTGAAAATTGATTTTATTTTGTTCATTCATTTCATATAAATGATCTCGTACCTATAAAAACCTCATCTACATAGTCATTAAATCAGGATGATTGATTGAGACTTACTTCTGCCCATTCATCTCGTGGTAATGCAGTAAGAGCGCCTAAGCCAAGTCCAGGACTTTGATCGCTTTGTTGAACAATATCTTCGAGTCGTTTGAGGATTTCAGGTGGCGTAAGAAGTTTATTCGATTCATATAAATCAAACATGAACATATGACCATTTCTCATTACAACAACATGAGTTGGTGGTCTTTGTGGATCTTCCGAAACTGGACAAAAAAATAAAATATTATAGTTAAAACAAAAACAACAAACCAGTTCGAAATACGCTCATTAATTCGTCACATCCTTTATGTGGAATTCGACATGTATTAAAAAAATGCTTATATTGATGCATGGTCAATGGATGTTTCCCCACGTACGATGTTGGATAACGTTCTCTGAGAAATAAGACGATTTGTTTTTCTATTTAAATTCAAACTTCTATTTATATACTCGCGTATTGTTTCGAAAACAAGAGCACACGCATACATATGTACACATGTCCGTGTTAGTTGTGAGTCGGCTTCAGGTGGTACTAAACAATTAAAACCCGTCATACTGATCGTTGGTGCGATGGGTAAACGCCATTTTAAATAGATTTCTTCATCCCACCATTTTGAAAGATACGACAATCGAAACTATTTGTTGATTGCAAGTGCCAATACAACCTTACCCAATTTCTTTCCTCTCTCTTCTCAATATTGGTCTTCAGTTGTTCGTGTAATTCTCGTCCAATTCCTATAGCGAATCGCTCGACAACCTTTTTAGTATTCGCATATTCAGTATCGTCGACCACAGCTCTTACTGAGTCAAGATAACGTTCAAGTGTATGTTCTAGTGTTGGCAAGGGCAATGCTGGTAGTTTATCATCATATTCAAACGTTTTCTTCATCTTTCTGTCTTGAGCAGATGTATATTTGTTTGTTAAGAATAAAACAAAAAGCACGTCTAATTTTATCTTCTTTTAACCGAAAAAGAAAAATTATCATTGAGTCAGTTTATAAATGTCAATGGGCCTTTTGAGACAACGAAATTTTTTCTTATGTTACTTTTTTCTAAGAAAAATATTATTATTATTAGTGCGAACACAAGTGAATTTTGCTTTTTATGCACTTATTAGATTTCTTCTATGTATATATATATATATATATATATATATAACTAATAAAACCAACTAGCGCCATCAAATTCCTTTCTCGATTGGCCATTTTCGCATAGACGTTTGACAGAAAAGAACTCAACCCAAGCAAGCAAGCAACCTTAAAAAGAAATGTCTACATAAATAAATATATATCATATACCTTGCTTTGATTGCTTCAATTTTTATTCGTAAAAAAACGCAGTTTCTTTGAGATCATGATTTTGAAACAGTATCGTACTTAACTAAGAAAATATGTGATTTCGATTTGAACAAAAACATAGGTGCAATGTGGAATGAACAATTTTGGTTACCGAGAAATACAACTTGGACAAACTTTACTGTACTCGAACAACAAGGTATTCGTCTACCCCAATTACATGATCTTATTTATGTTTATCCATTGGCTCTTCTACTCTATGTAACAAGACTCTTATTTGAATAGTAAATTTTATTTTTTTAATTTTATTTGAAAAGTTGATTTTCTTTTTCTAGTTGTGTAGCTCAACCTGTTGGTCGATTAGTTGGCATTCGACTGGTGCATCTACGTAATTCACGTGTTAGTCTACTAGGAAAATTTAGTGAATCATTTTGGCGTTTTATTTTTTATCTTTGCATATTTTTATATGGTGTAATTATTTTAAGGAATGTAATGAACTTTTCTTATCTATAGAATCAAGTTAATAGTTTTTTCTTTCTATTGAAGAAATCATGGACGTGGGATACAAAAGATTGTTGGTTAAATTATCCAAATCATCGATTAACAGATGACATATTTTGGTATTATATGATAGAACTTGCATTTTACTGGTCATTAATCTTTTCTCAATTTATTGATGTTAAACGAAAAGATTTTTGGCAAATGTTTCTTCATCATATTGCCACAATATCATTACTATCATTTAGTTATACGGTCAATTTTGTACGTATTGGTGCATTAGTACTTGTAATACATGATTGCGGAGATTTTTGGCTTGAAGTAGGAAATAAATTACATAAAAAGAAAAATCGATAATTATGATTTTATTTTTCAAGATTGGCAAAATGGCAAAGTATGCGCGGGCACAGAAAACATGTGATGTGTTTTTCGTTATATTTGCTATTGTTTGGTTTATAACACGTCTATGTTACTATCCTTATAAGTAAATATATATAAATCTATGTTTAATACAAACATTTTACCGAACGGGTTTTATATAGTAGAAATTCGAAGACAGTTCATCCGTAGCTAGCATTCATAAAATAACTAGTAAACATTTTCCCTAATCTTCATAGTAATTTAAACTATGCAAACATCAGGAATATTTAAAAAGATCTGAGACTTATTAAAGCCATTATATTCAGTAATTTCATTTGAAAATCGTAGATAAGTTTGGTGCACGAGTTCAAACAACCCTTTTTTTCTGTCTCTATTCAAATTTCTTTTTCTTGAGGTGTGCCATAATTTTTAACAGATATGACGGTGATGCGCGTCAAAAATGATGGTCTATTTGTCTTCGTCCTTCCATCCATCATCATTTGATAAACATCATAACACCTCTCAAGGACGAAGAAAAAAAGACTTTTACATTTCTGTCGGATGAAGACGATATCCGGTCCGCAGTGAAATGCAAAATTAGGGTAATTCACGATTTCTTGTCATAGTCTTGGTGAACATAATTTAAACGTTAATTTATTCTTGGCTAAAATGCAAATATTTTCATTGCTAGGCTAAACACTAATTTAGGATAAATATTGAACATACGATTATTGTCCGGATATATTAAAACTAACAGTTTAGAAAGTAATTTCACATTTCTAAGGTCTTCCTTCCATAAAGATTAAAAGTGTACTGATAATATCCATGGTGTGCCACACTGACGAGACTTCTATTAATTTAGAATATTGTATACAACGACATTTGAAGAACTAAATATTCTCGGTCTTTTTCCTGCTTACTACGTATTCAATGGTCTTTTAATACTTCTACAAATTCTTCATTATTTTTGGTTTTATTTAATTTGTCGAGTAGCTATTTTAGCATGTAAAGCGGGCAAAGTACGATGAATGCTAAATTCAATTTTTTCAATTTTTTTTGCTTTGCCTTCGATTATAGGTAACAAAAGATGATCGAAGTGATAGTGACGGCAGCGATGATGAATCATCCAATGGCGATGTTGATATTCGTAAAAATAAGTGATCTACGATCGTTTTTTTAATTTTCTTCTTTCCGCAATAGACATCATTTGCATATAATTATTTTAATTCCAATTCATTTATTTATTGCAATATACTTTTTGTTTTAATCTTCATAACATAAGTAACTGTGTGAGCTTAAGCAATAGTAGCTTTAGTATGTATTTTGCTTTTTTGTAAACGTATGTGAAGGAGAAAGCACTCAATTTATTTGTTAAATATACATAGCTATATGTTTCTTTATTACTATCATCAGTGTTCTTTCTTTTTTTTTCTAACTGTATTTTTTTTACCAGTATGAAAAAACAATTAATATCTATACGCACATGGAGTGTTTTTATTGTTAAATAAACGAAGGATTTTCTTAAAAATAGTTGTGCTGGTTCAATTTTATATGCGGAGATGTTTCGACAAGAGTTGATGTTAAACTTTGATTTCGCATTTTGGGCAATATGATGATCGTCACTGTTCGATTTTAATGAATTCTATTTTCTTAATCACTCTATACAAGGACTACGATTGGGGATAATTCGTATTTGATTGTATTTTTCATTCCATCGATACTCATCATTAATGGCAAAGTGTATCCGATTATTATTTCATTTCGGAATTCATTATAAAAGTACAATTGCAGAATAAAAATTTTCTCTAGAGGACCGACTTTCCCAGCAATATCATATTCTCAAATTTAAACCTGAAGCTTTGTATGCATGAAGGTTTCAATGCGACGAACTTACAGAAAAAAAATCAGAAATTTTGGACAAACCCTCTTCGAGATATGAATCTCTCAAAATATAGACGATTTTCTGTAGAAACTGTATACTTGAGACCAGTGTAGCCAGATCTTCTGAAAACTAGGAAAAACTTCTGAATTTTGAACATTTTTCTAATCTTCTGATTTTTTCTGAATTTGGAATATTTGCAGATCCTGCTTTGCCACTGAAATTAGGTACGATTATAACCCATTATTATAATAAATCAATAGTGTTTCATCAATTTTCTGCATTAGTCATATTTTATATTCCGCATTCGAATTCTGGAGTAGAATTGATTTTCGGTTATGTGAAGCATTTATAGTCCAATTCTTGTAAACCAGCAACATAAAACCAGATAATGCTTAACTTAAAATAAAAGTGAATGGTAATTATTCTTGAGAATGTTTTATTAGCATACGTTATTTTAAACAAACTTCTTACAGCAAATTCAAAAAGATGCAAAATATGAATAGCAATACCGAGATGATGGAATTTAACGTTTTTTCTCTCGTTGGATTTCTTAATCTACGCAGAATGTATGTGATTTAGTTTTGCTCGTTTTTACGAACGAGTTTTAAATTTAAAAAGAAGCTCAACGTTAAATATCTTTTATTGATGTTTGCGTTTTTCAGAGATTGTTTCTGATTGTTTTCTGATTTTGAAAAAATATTTTCTGATTTTTCGATTTTTGATCTGGCCACCCTACTTGAGACATCTATGTTTCGAAGAGAGTTTTTCGAAAGCTTCTGATTTTTTTCTATAAGTTAGTCTCCTTGAGACCTTCATGCATGCATAGTTTCAGGTTCAAATTCGAAAATATGATATTGCTGGGAAAGCCGGTTCTGTAGAGAAAATTCACTGAAAAATCGAATATCTCAGCCTAGGCAAACCAATAGCAGCTAATATTTTAACCTTGTTAGTTTGGCTATGAGAGCTTTCATTGGATCCGAAAATATCCTGTTTTTCTCACGGACAGTACAAGCACCTCCATTGTCAGATAAAAAATGCAAAAAACAAGCTTAACGCTGGGACACGTTTTTTTTTTGTCGACCAAATTTGAAGCACTTAACATGGTTAAAAATATTTTATGTTTATATATATTGACTACTGCCTTTCGGTGGGTGTGGGTGACATTGTTCTTTCATCGACACACCCATCCTTCTGTAAAACAATCAAGTTGCTACCAGAGACCGAAACCGATGACAAAAGTGCCATTCGATTCGATTCGGCTAAAAACACGAAAAAAATTAATTCGATTCGATTCGATTCGACTCAAATTGGGTTTACAAAATATGGTATTCACTATTACATAGTATTGTTGTTTTCAGACTGTCATCTTAGAATGAGAATAGTCTGTCGATCTTCTATAGAAATATGTTGAATAAATATAATTTATGAAGATATACATAAGAATTATTCATTTTTTTCAAGAAAGAACATATAAAATATAAATTAATGAACACATCTAAGTAGACTAATTAAATAAGTTTATTTTCTATAGAACGAAGAAAAATAATATCATTTACTGTATATGGATCTATATTTACAGTTGACCGTAGCCATACTTAATAAATAAAGAGGTTGATATCAAGCCCGCAATCGCACTGGAAATGTGAATAAAGTTAGTCTTATTCAGTAATCTAATTGATACATTAAGAGTTAAAATCACCTCTAAAGTATTACTTAACTCTTAATGCACTAGTCACATGGCTTAATTCAACTATAATGCTAATTTACTTCTCAGTGTGATTGGAGCCTAAATTGACTAACAGAAAAAGAAAGAAAGATGGAACACTCGTTGTAAGTGAGCATTTATTATGCCAATCAAAATGCACTTGACCATGATAACGATATGAACAGAACAAGGGTGATCATTAAATAAGCACGCCTGACAGAAACAAAGCAAGAGAAACAGTGGACGTCCTTTTGCATGCGTCATCTCTTATACTTGTCAACTGCCCTCGTCCATAACACCAGAACAAAGAAAATGATTTTGAATAGCCGAATGAAACTGAAAAAAATGAATCGGTTCGATTCGGCTTTTTTCCAATTTTTTTTTATTCATTCGATTCGATTCGGTACTTTTGAAGTTCCATTCGGAGTCGATTCCATTCGTCTGGCGCGAATCGAATCGAATCGAATTATTCGGCAATTCGATTCGATTTCGGTCTCTGTTAGCTATAGACAGAAATTAATTAATAAATTTAAAATGAATGCTTTTTTCACTCGGAAAAGTCTCTCTATGAAAGTAAAATGCATGTACAATTCATTTCCTCTTTTTATCAAGGAAATAAAGCTATTGCAAACATGCTAAAAATATCCATAGGTACATATTGATTTATTATAAAAAGAAAAGAAGCTTAAGCAAATATGTTTTATATTTGATTTCCTCGTAAAATCATTTTTCTTTCGCTGTGCAGATGTGATGTTAGCATAGTAAATTTATTGGTGTGAATATGGCTTTCGATAAAATAAGAGATGGAATATGTCAGTGTCTGTCATTATTTTTTAGATTATTTATCAAATCATATCATTACATCGGTCAAGGTGTGGAGTGATCGTAGTCAATTTTCAATGCTTTTCGTGACAAGTTTCAACTTTAGTTTATTTAGGCTTTTCATTGACGCCATGCAATACTCTCATTCATACTCACACCCTCAAATACATATCCAACCTAAATTTTTCGTGCTATAAACTTCATCGGAATCGATACTATTCCATAAAGAATGAGATTCTCTGTACAAAAAGTAGCCTGTTTTAGATCCAAAACAGACCAGGAAATGAATAAAATATCATGCTAGCGTTGCTTATGTTTTTCATTTGTCTATTCGATAGAGATATCCGATTTTATTCAATCTTTAACAAATTTACAAGTGTTGTAGGATTTAGGGGAATTACGAACAAAATCATTGATTTTATTAAATCCTATTGCATTTTGCAATTGTTTTTAAAGATTAAATGAAATATAATACTTCAATAAGATAGAGTGAAGAAAACTGGATATTAAAGACACACATAATTTTTATGGTAGCCATCGAAATCCAAAGTAAGTCAAATCTATTCAAATCTAAGTCTAGAACTGCAGTTGAATGTGGTGTATCTCTATGTACGTGTATTTTATCATAAAATATAACGTTATTGGGTATCTTTATAGAATGATGACAAAAATTGTGAAGGTTCTAAAATTTTTAACTACATGGATAGCATAGCTGCGCAAGTACGGGTACAACTTGTACTGGGGTATTCACATACAGACTAACAGCTCTGCTAGTGAGACACAGGATACACGTGTACTCGCATGTATTATAATGTATTCAGTTGTAACACCCCCTCTTCCCGCCCAAAACCTAGAATTCTATAATTCATGTACTCCCATGTATTCCCATGTATTCGGTCGTAACACCCCCTCTTCCCGCCCAAAACCTAGAATTCTATAATTCATGTACTCCCATGTATTCGGTTGTAACACCCCCTCTCCCCTAGGCATGCACCAAACCCGAGTACAACCCGGATAGTTCGGGTCAGTACTACCCGGTATTCGGTCGCACCCGGGTTCGGCCATACCTGGTTTCGGTACTACCCGGGTTCGGTGATACCCGGTTTCGGTACTACCCGGGTTCGGTCATACGTGGGTTCGGTATTACCCGGGTTCGGTCATACCCGGGCTCGGTCTTCCCTGGTTCGGTCATACCGGGTACCCGGTACTACCTCGGTTTCATCATACCCAGATTCCGTATGGGATTCTCTGGTCTACTGATTCGTATCCTTCGAAGCATAAAAATGAATAATAAATAGCACCTATGGATATATATAGTAGGGGATAAAAGATGAATTCATGTCAAAGATCCTCTACCTTGCTCAGCCTATCATAGTTAATCTCATTTATCAGGAACGGATACAGTTAAATGAGCTTCTCTTAATATTTATCTTGGACTCAACCACAAGAAATCGTCGAATGGTTCTCCTTATTAAGTTTTCCGGAAATGCATATGTATGATTTTCTTTCCATCGATCTACTAACAATATCAATACGAATAATGCTAATATCGATATCAAAAATACGAAATTGTATTGGTATTGGTAGTATTCGAATTTTCACATCCCTACTTAGACTATCAGAAGGATCATTTCAATAAGGAGAACCATTCGACAATTTCCTGTAGCTGAGTCCTAGAGAAATATTCATAAAAGCTCATTTAATTGTATACTTTCCTGATAAATAAGATTATCTGTGATAGATTGAGGAAAAGACCATAAACCGTTGAAATAAAATCATTTATTATTATCGATCTATTGGTACTATTTGTTATTCCTTTCTATGCTTCGAAGAATACGAATAAGTAGACCCTCAAATTCCTGTACCGAATCTGGGTATGACCGAATCCGGGTAAGGCCGAACCCGGTTATTACCGAATCCGGGTAAGACCGAATCCGGGTAGTACCAAAACCGGCTATGACCGAACCCGGATATGACCGAATATCAGGTCGTTCGGGTTCGGTGCATGCCTAGGGGAGAGGGGGTGTTACAACCGA